AAGGTAAAATCCGTATTTTTGCAAATGTACTTGCTATTGTTTACGTTAATAAGTATACAGTTTTTTTTTAAATATAAACAAGCTGATGATCCACTTGATGAAATGTAGCTACCATTACCCGTTATCATTTGCAATGTTTTCCACGAAAAAAAATCGTTTTCATTTGTAGCAAAATCATTTATTTTGATTTAATACTAAACTATTACATCGATTTTGATAACATTTCTATTGGGCCAATCTGTAAATATATTCTTTTAGATAAAATAAAGAAATTTCCAAATCTATTTACAACTGACAGAATTATGAGTGAACAAAAAAATATGACTGAATATAAAAACTCCTTCTTTTTGAAGTCGGTTAGTAAAAGGAATGGAGCGTCATCGATCTTTTAAAAAGCTCTAGTTATTAATAATTTTTAACAAGATCATTCTTTGTTTAATCAGTTACTGACTCTCTGCCTACTCCATATGGAACCAGTCGTGATGATATACTTATAAAAATAAGACAAGTTAATCTCATGACCGTTATCCCTTGTACAGCGTGTAATAACAAAACTATAATAATTATAATGTCCTTGGTAGTGTAGCTGTTTAACACATTGCTATATTTTCCAGTAATTTCTAGTTTAATCTTCGTATAATACAAGCAAATGATCATACATCTGTTCTTATTGACAGGATATTTTCTATAATATTGTTTGTATGTGTTTGTGTGTTCAGGGGTTTTCAATAACCTAATATAATTCTGTTATTAATAAGGGTAACATTATTAAGGATTTTTTAAAGTTGGCAACGCGTGTGACGCTGTGCTGATGTAAGTGTCCATAGGTTACGGTAAACGTTTACCATCAAGCAGGTCATATACTCGTTTACTACTATTGTGGTAAAAAATATTTGTCATAGAGGTAGCTACATGCCACTCTTTCCAGTTACGATAAAGAAGTTTTTATAACAGGCCGGTTTATATATATATATATATATATATATATATATATATATATATATATATATATATATATATATATATATATATATATATATATATATATATATATATATATATATATATATATATATATATATATATATATATATATATATTTAATGTTTTTTTGTTTGCTTTATATTCTCTTTTAAAAATTGATATTTCACATTAATTGTACACTAAAATAATTTTAATTTAATAATAATTTTAAAATAATTTGTTTTCATTATTTCTTTTGTCTTGTAATCGACTGTGTAAGCCACATTATTATGTACTTTACATAGATTTTTGTTCTTTACTAAATATTTTTGTATAATATAAACTGTTGATTTATTCAATTAAATAGATATATCCTTTAAAGTTTAACATTCGTCGTCCATAAGCGTTGTAACGTTAACAACTAGTTAATCATAGCTACCAAGTAAACGTGTCTCATTGTATTTACAATTTCAATAAGTTATACGATAAAATGTTTACCTCGGTACGGTATCACTAAAAGCCTAGATACGCAATCGCCGCACTTAGATTTACTGTATTTATTCTTATATAATATATAAATAAATCCGTTGAAATAGTTGCAAATAATTATACCTATATATACAAAATAAATCGTTTTAAATATACGGAAGTCAAAATCAGATGTTCACGAAAATAATCCCAAATAAATTATGGAATTACATATATTACCGATTAAAAGATAAAACCAAACAGCTTACTTAGGGTTTTAATTTGATTTTTTTTCTCTCGTGGCTGATAAATTGTACTTTATTCCCCTTCTATTTCCCGCAACTTTATCGACGTGAATCAATATATATAACCCACCTATGTAGCAAATTTCATTCAAATCCGTTCAGCCGTTTAGACGTGATCGAGTAAGAAACATACAAATATTTAAAGACCCAAACATCTTTACAATCATTTATATTTATAATACAAATATCAATAAAATTTGTATTTTTTGGGAATAAAATAAAATGGTCATACATTAAATCCTCACTCCGTTATCATACGAACTATTTCCTCTAATAGGCATGTGCAGTATTTTATGAGGAACCATCCAGTGGTATGAATCTCAATTTAATTCGTTAATGTCTTGGAGTTCGATCTTGGATGAGTAAAAGTGTATACCGATCTATAAATTCATTTTTGATTTTATAGATCGGTATACACATATAACATTACAATTTACTAATTAATAAACAAATATATTGAGAATAATAAAAAAAATCATTCAGATAGTAATTACTATAATATGATATTCATATTTTTACGTTTTCATATACTAATTATTTTACATACAAATATTGTAATAAAATTCAAATTTTGATCATTCAATCTTGGAATCTTTCCTAGAAAGAGTATGTTTGATAGATTATTTCACAGTTAAAATTTAGATTTCGTATTTCACATTATATATGGTATTACAACAAGTAGATTATTGTAGATTCTACAAAAAAGAAGGTTTTGTTAGTAACAGATTAATATTGACTAGTAATTGGGCTGTTCTTATTTTAAAACGAATAAAACTCACCAATGAACGACGAGATATTTCAGAGACGTATTAAATTTAAATTATTTTTAAACACGGATCAGTGTCTTTGCAAACCAATTGTGACCCGCAAAGAAAACAGCTATTTGAATAGTGATAAAATAAATATTGATTCGCGATTACACTGTTCTTATTTAAAAACGAACAAAATAAAATATCGCACCAATTGACGACGAAATATCTCAGAAACGCATTAAAATTGAACTATTTTAATTTAAAAACGCGGAATCGCGTATAGTAGTAGATATTGGCCCGCAAAGAAAAACAGCTACTTTAATCGTGACAAAATTAACATTGAACCAACACGGAAATAAACTCATTAGCTTGCAAAAAGGATTATCAAAATCAGTTCAGAATTGACAAAGATATTGCGTAACATCTTAATATAGGCAAATCCTATGTCACGATATTTGTTCACGCTAATCTCCGAAACCTCTCAACCGATTTTAATGAAATTTTGTAAATCTGTATTGCTTGCTTCCAATTGTTTTTATTCCGATAAAAAAGATGAACCCGATTGGTAATGGTAGGAAGGCAAAATCATTTTCCGGGTCAGCTAGTAGATACATATATAAAAATATGAATTGAAAATTTTCTTTTGTTTTCAACAAAAAGACGGGGGTTTTCAATTCGGTTGTGTATTTTTTGTGTGTTTATTGCCTCATAACTCCGTCAATTATAAACCGATCTAGAAAATTCTTTTTCATCTGGAAAAATATACCTACAGATTGGTCCCATAGAAATTTTAATACAAAATAACTGGTTTTGCCACAATACAAATCGGTTTGTTATCAATTCTAATATTATTACTACCTACTTATGTCCAATATCTTAATCCCAATATGAATCTATCTGGTAAAATTTGTCTGTCTATTCCTAACTAATAACTGCTATAGTCGTAAGTTCAAGTCAAATCGATGCCGAAAACTATGCGTATCTATTTAAAATTTTCTATTTACTCTTCAGTGACATAAAACACCGTTAACAAACATAAACATTCCTTGAAGGAGGCAAACTCCAAAATAAATCCTAATAAAACTAGTATCAAGCTAGCAAATCATTATGATTTTTTTTTTTATACCACTGAAATGGCAAACAACTATACGAACATACATAATGATGAGCATATAAGTATATGATGGGAAACAATTTCCATAGCTTACGAACGCTTGCAATTGCAGGGACATTACGCGCGTGTTGCCGATCCTGAAGAAACCTCTTTACCCCTTTTTTAAGCGACTCCATAATGTAGTCATAATAATAGATTAATATACTCCTTTATAAGGTAAATTCATACGATGTAGTGTAACCATAATGTTGTTATAAAACTAAATCCTAATATAATATAACAGTCCTAAATATAACGGTCTTTACAGAACATTCGTACTGTCTCCCGGTAGCACAGAATACTAACGACGTTATTCCTTTTCAACCGACTTAAAAAAAGGAGGTTCTCAATTCGGTTGTATTTTTTATGTTTGTTACCTCATAACCACAATCAATTATAAATCGATTTGGAAAATTCTTTTTTCTTTGAATTCTTTTTTAACTTACAGATTAGTTTAGAAATTAAAACAAAATCAGTTCAATAGTTTAGTTTTTAAATTAAAATAATTTGTTTTAAAACAATTGATGTTGTTTTTTTTTTGTGGAATACTAATTTAAATTATATAACAAACGCTTCACTATCTTTCCTTCTTTGGAGTTAGCCAAAGAAAAGGACATACTATATTAAAAATATGCAACATTAGATAATAGGTATATCTACCTGCTTTCTAAAATTGTCTTTAGGACGCCAAAATCTCAAATCGATTCTAATGAGACTACTATTATAATTATAAAGGCATTTATTGGAACTTAAAAAAATAAAACTGTCGTAATACTCTCGTCCCAAAAACTAATAGTGTTTCACAAACTTTGCCTTCATATGTTACCATATAAAATATTCTACATATTCATACTAACGTAAATCAGAATATGATCCATTTGTCTACCGAATTTTATTTAAGTTCATAAACGTGAGTAGTTTAGTTTAATTAGTAGGATATCCTTCGATTAATCGTATATTACTATACGATTAAATGATTAATTCGATTACTCCAGTAGTCAACTAATATTGTTATTATATGATATTAATCATTAACGCTTGATGCGGCGCCCGCGGTAAATATTTTGTAAGTGCGCATCGACTCACCAATCCGTTAATATAATGTGATAGCATTTGTCGACGCAGTGAAATTGATGATGTACCAATCACCTATTCGATTATTTATAATCCAATCGATCTTTCATAAGAAGGCGACTCTTTAAGTTAACAACTTTAATTAATTACCTAAACGATTAATACACATATAGTTCGCTTAAACGGTAAACATCGACATATAAAAAAAGATAAAAAATATAATACCGTAAAAATTATTTCGTATAATTAAAAAATTATGTAAATCATAAAAAAATAATAACCAACCAAAATTCCTTGGCAAATAAAAATCCAAATGAAAATGTGCACAAAATAAAATACAACACTTCACACGAACAAAATCTTTCGGTACACCGATTGCAACACATAAAAATCTTATAAAGCCCTTTAAGTAAGTCTAAAACGCACTTTAAGACACCAAACACTGACAACTTTACCGTTTGCCGCCAACTGCAACTTTTTTCAACAGTTTCAGAAAATATGAAAAAATATAATTATAAAAAAAAATTGTTCTAAAATCAAAATTGCGAATAATTCGCGAGTTCGAATTACAAGTTTCGCGTCGCGCCGTTGCGCATATCACGGGAGCGGGAATGTGAAATTTTCGACTATTATGGGGAGGATGTGCGCATAGCTGTGGCTTAGATGAGACTGTGGCGTGGTACCGCGGCAGTCCAACTGTGTAGCCAAAGACGACTTTCGCCCCGACCGGTCGCCCTACAGCTCTGGCGACGGGTGACGCATCCAGGAATACTGTTAATTCACTATATATTACACAATATACACTATGACACTTTTTTCTAATTTACTTTTAAATAATAATTTTCAAATTTCACTTGTTTCTTACAACTACATATAATCGATCGATAAATATAAGGGTTGAAGGGAGATTAGTGAAATAAACTGTTGACACGGACTTTTGCACGATCGTGTTCCTCCTGCCGTCCCTTATTTTAAATATGCATTACAGTAACCATTGTTATTACAAAATATTCAAATTCGCATATAAAAGGGTATCGTCATTGTATAGAATTGGATATAATTGCAAAATGACATCGTAGTTTCATTAATATGTTACTATTTATAAATTCACTCCACTTTATATCATCTGGTGTGATTCATCAACATTTTAGTACATGAATCATTAAGGGTATTTAGTTTAAAATCTTAAATTAAACAAATGTTACTTCGGATCTATTTAAAGCTACAAGAATTGTAATAAAATAAAAATTATTGTGGTGAATATAAAGTCACAAGAATAAGCCGCAAACCGCATATCTGTCGTACCTACCCATTATTCTATTTCATAATTAACTAATCAAACAGCTGTATTTCAATTTGCTTTATAAAATATATACATATAACACCGAAAATATTCGAGATCGCAGTTTCGACAAAATTTGTTTGTAACTTTTAAATCTCGCACATAGTTTACTTTTATATAATAATCAACTAGATAATGAGGCTTTTGTCACAAAAAATCATAACTAATTCGTACATCTTTTTTTATATTTAGAATAGCAAACAAACTGACGGCTCACCTGATGAAAAGTGGTAACCGTTGCCTATAGACATGAGTAGTACCATAGATATAACAGAGCGTATCGCCCATGATACTCTTCATGCGGTAACCATTCCTGATGAGTAAGGTGTTACACTATTTATCGAAAAAGTACCACTTGGACAAATAAATTTTAATAACGGCTCTTAAAATATAATATTTTTTTAAACATACTTTACATCACAATGATATTAAAGATTTTAATAATTAAAGTATTAATTTTTACTAAACTAAATTTTTAATAAAATGACATGGGTATAATTACAAAATAATTTCAAATTATCTCAATATTATTTTTTATATAATTTAGATTACCAAACATACAAATAGGCTACCACATGAAATATTTTATATATACATAAACGGTACCATGAACATTAAGGAATATATATACGTCATACGTACAATTAATAATATTCATACAAATTACAACCTAAACTCCAAAATAATAGCCAGAAAAGTATGTAGGAAAAGTTTCAAATTTATCACTTTTTCTAATAGTTATGTAATTAGCACACAATCCATTATAATATACGAATTAATTACGTTTACATAAACAGGACATAAGAGAAGGATACACACAGTAAATTATCATGAAATGGCAACAATAAGCGCACACTATCTGGAGTTATGTCATAACCCAGTTCCAAGTTGAAGTCAGGACTTCGCGCAGGAAACGGCAGGAGCAGGACGCCGACTTTAGTATAACTATTTACAACTGTTGCAACGTTCGATGTTGCCATCTATAACGTTGTTTTAGTTGAAAACTGTGGATGTGTTTACAGGCAATTGATTACAGAGTAATAAAACGATATAAAATATTTTATTATATATGTATATTTTTAGTATTCAAATTAAATGTCATTTAATCAGAGATTCTTATTAATATTACAAAATGTGAAAGTAAGTTTGTTTGTTATCTCTTGACGCCTTGACAGCTTAACCAATTACTATAAAATTTGGTATGCACGTACTATATGAGAAGAAAAAGAACATATCCCAGTCACGCGAACGAAGTCGCGGATAAAAGCTAGTATTATAATAATTCATCTAAGCAAAGAATTATTAAAATATATAGTGTCTTTTTAGATACACTGATATACTTGTTTCATATCATTGTACCTATCAGATGTTACAGTTCTTCATGACGAAGTTGCTAACTTTGACATTACCATAATTTAATAATTCACGGCTTTTAGAAGAATATCAGGTAAATTTTGCTCCTCAAAAACAGCAGTTTCAATCGTGAAAATACAACATACAGAAAATATTTTAATTTAGAACACGTATTTACAATTATTTTTTAATTACTTAAAAATGTCATAGCAACATAGCATGAAGAACTAAAAATCAATACATATAATAAAAGTAAGTGGCTGCTGTCTGTACATGGAAGATATATAAGAAAAACTACTATAGAGTGGCTTTATGAAAGCAATAGAACCAAAACAATGATTTTTAGAATTTTTGTCTGTTTGTCTGTTTGTCTGTAGGTCTGTGCGCGCTAATCTCAGAAACGGCTTAACCGATTTGTACGCGGTTTTCACTAATGCATTGCGGTTTACTCCACTTAACATTTAGTGTTTGTTTTATTTCAATCGGTTCATAAAAAAAGAATATATCAATCTAAATAATCACCTATAAAATGCTGTAAAGTAACTGATCAATTTAATTGACTGAAACTTATAGAAGGTAGTAGGTACGTAATTATCATTTAAGTATATAATACAATATAAGACCCAATTCATGAAGAGTTCCAATGGGAATGATGTACAGAAATTATATAGAAGCGAGCAACGCCGCGGGAAACGGCTAGTAAAAAATAAGCTTCTATGTCCTTCAAAATCACAGAACTGTCAAGTTGAATGTATAATTTCTCTCGATATTTCCGACGTCTCATCAATGGGAGTCAAAGTGAATGGACATAAAAGAAATCAATTGACAATCCTTGTTCAAAAGAGCACAGGAAAAGCAAGTTTTGTTTTGACACAAACCAACTGTGCTTTTATGTTCCTGCTGGTCAGATTTTTTTCACCTTTCTAAACAATTCCAACACGAATTACTTGCATGTATAGAAATTCAATTTTTTTGCTAAAAAAATCAAACATTGTCGTTCTTATAATACAGATTCTTAAAATACAAATATAAATGGAGATTCTGAAAATAAACAAGCCAATATACTTAATTTAAAAATTATACATTTTAACAAATTATATTTATCTAAAATATATTTTGTTTAAATATACTTATAACACTTAATAATAATATCAACTAGATATAGACCTACGCACGAACTAAACCAAAATTTTAAAATATATGAATAGGTATTGAAGATATGTGCATGAGAGATGTAAGTAACATTAATAAAAAATTTAAGCAGTTTTATTTATTTTTGTCGATCTGTCCATTGAAAATATTTAAATGCCTATTACATAAAAAAAACTATCACTTATTGATTTTACATAAATTTTCTTTATTCGAAAATACATACCTACGAATATAAAATTTTAATATGATACAAGACAGTGAAAACTGTATCGAAATCAGTTGCGTATTTTAAAACAATAGAAGAGAAACAGAATGATACAGACAGCGACCTTTTATAAAACTAGAAAAGTTGATATACCTAATTACTTATGTTCTAATCAAGTAGTAGAAATATATATACTAGACTCATGAACAGAATTCACACAGTCAAAGTTACTAAATTAACCACATAAATTAAGATAAAATGTAGTCTAAAAAATTACAAAGGTATCTATGTAGATATAAGCTAATAAGGTAAACATTAGAATAGTTTAAACTCGTATTTAGCAAATTACCTAAGTATGTATAAAATCATGCGATTGGATGAATAGTAAGCAAAGACTTCTAGAACACACGTTTCTTACATACATACATACATATCTGTCACGCCTGTCTCCCAAATGTTTCTTACAAATACGATAAAATTATAACTAGACTATGTTTGTAAATGATGGAAGATATTTAAAAAAATACTAATATAAAAGGTCTTACTTAATGAGAACAATAGAAAGGCACAATAATTTTTAGGAATTTTGTCTCTGTGTATGTTTGTTCCGGTATCACGTAAAAACTATTCCACCAAATTAGATGAAGTGTTCATAGTTGTGTTACTAAAGGTATAACTTAAAATGTGACGTATGTTTCACCTTAATACACCGCCTAAAAGTGATCTATTTCATTAATTTTCTTCCTTCCGAAATCCACTAGTATGGAGTAGCGAGCAAAAAGTTAGTGTACAAATAAACAACTAGTTTAATAATGAAGCTCAAGTAGAAAATATCCGTTATCTTACATCTATCAGATGTTGCGGACAACTCACTTGCAGCTACCGTCCGCGGTAATAAACAGAAATCCGATACTCAGTCTACGACAAGCATTTAAAGCCAGATCTGATAAGGAGATCGTTCAGTTATTATTTACAATCTGTTCACGATTGTCCCTTATGATGCCAAAATCAACTGCATTTTTATATGGCAGTAAAGGTATAAGTTATATTTCCAATGTTTGAACAAATATTTGTGTTGAACATGAATTTGTAGTATTCGTTTCACATATTTTATAGGAAATATTCACCAACGCTTTGCACGGATAGATAGATAATAATTAAAATTAGTATTTTATATTAGCTCTAAAAGGCCAATTTTTATACTTTAGTTTATATTATTGCAAATTTCGTAAGGATGTCTAATATTTTTTTTAATAATAATTAGCTTATATTACTCACTTGTAATGTAGCTTCCTACAGCTGTCAGGATTTTAAAATCGCTAGAGAAGTTTTGAGTTCATTCCTTATAAATTAGCAAACATTTAAAATATCAAATCTTCCCTCTTTACAATGTTATAGTATAGATGTACATTTCGTGACATACACACAATACAAATCATTCTAACTATAATAAATATCATCAAAATGTTTAGATTAGATCAATAGTAGCCGAGTTGTGAAAGGAAACAAACAATCAGTCTGGCACATATCACGCTGATCAGTATTTCCTCATACGGTAGACAGCATGCGTCTGTGGACCCGAAAACCAAACAAAACTACTTTTAAAATCTGCTAATGCGGCCAGTGACAGC